AAACCGATCTTTCCAAAAGACAGACAAATAAAGAGTGGGCAAAAAGGAACCAACCAGAATCTATATCCCACAATACCTTAAGTACAGGAAATGTGGCATACTCTTTAACCCATTTCCTGTATGCCCCGAGAATATTTGCCATTGGAGCTTCCGGCTGCAGCATTTACCCCAAGATAACTCACGGATTACAGTCCTAACCTTACCCTCAAAGTTTGCCATGAAATATCTTGCTTTTATTATTATTTTAGCGTCACTCTAGTATATCGATAGTCTTAGGGAACAAATGATATCATTCTATTTATAGCATTCAGTTTTTAGTAATGGTATTTTCACTTACAAAACATGGTAATTCCCGATTCGTGAAAATGTCAAATCCTAGAAAACAGTATTCCTATGTGTGATGTTAAATTCATGCTGGCAGCAAGCTGAATTTTTTTTCTAAATGGGAAATGGGTTAAACATTTTCTGTTAACTCTAAAACATGTTGGCATTAGTTCTTATGTTTTTAACAACACCCATTGGAGAAAAGATAATCCACACAGTATAAGAACAGAGATACTCATGAATAGAGGCATCTCAAAGAGATTTGGGCAGGCACTAAGGAAAAGCATGGAGTTTAGCCTAAGCATGCATCCATCTCAAAGCAGATGGTACAAATTGTGGGTTTTCAGGACCCAAGAAAATTAGAAGTACCACTTGATTTCAGCTGCCTTATAATTAAAACATTTTTTATAACATTTTAATTTCCAACAATTTTTAGTGAATGGTCATTCATTTCGCAAATCCATTCACTGATAGTTTTAAGTAATCATCTTTCTCATCACATCTAAAATATCATTGGATTTATACAAAAAATTGAATTATGGAATCTCTTCAGGACTTTGGTATTAGGGAAAGTCCCTCAACTTGGAAGTCTGACCAACAAGAATTCAAATTTTCTGCTATTAACTAGTTGCGACCTTGGACATACTTTACTTCATTGAACCTCATTTCTTAAATGAGAATAATACCCATCACAAAAGGCTACTGAGTGATTTAAGAATGTAAAGTATAGGACACATAGATATTGATAAGTAGCAGCTTCTGTGTCAATTAGAGTCTAATGGAAATAGATGGAACATTTAAATTATGGTATTTTAAGATTTTTCTTACAAATAGATTATTTCCAAAGGTGAACAGGACTTAGGAGAAGCACATTGAGAAAAAATTCCCAGGGTAAACAAATAAAGATGCTCTCCAAATTTAATTTACAAGGGTGTTTCCCACATTACTGTTGTCTTAGGGAACCTCATGAAACAATCCAGATGTACAAGTATAGGATATTGTTACATTCATAGAGCTGAAGACCATAAAACCACGAAAAACAGTATTATAAGAGCAAACATATTGCCTTCAATTACATTAGTAATATAGTGCTTAGTGAAAAGTGTAGATTTTAAGATATTGTGGAGAATAGACTTTATTTTGCTAAAATTATATGTACATTGTATTTTTCATCTAAATTTATGTCTAGATATAATTATTTAAAGCCAGACTTTAGGATTCATTGGGCTCTTTTATAAATTGCCAGCTTTTTTTCAGTCTTGAATGAGGTAGAGTTCATTTACCCTTTTTTTTTTTTTCGAGCCTGGAGGGGAGGAAGGGTCACCTTTAACCTGATTCAGATGATTTAGGCTGAGTGGCTAGTATTGTTCAGTGATGAGCCTTCACAAGTGTGTCTGAATTAGAGCTATCTCTGAGATGCTGTAACTTCTTTGGGGTGAGGTTCAAGGTGTAGATGGAAAAAGTTGCTTGCCTGTGTGAATTTAGAGTACTGCCTTGCCAAGTGTTGCTTGTTCCATTTGGTTAATTATGCACAGGGTATTTGGAACTGGGAAACTGAAAACTCAATTCCACAATCTGAAGAAACGTATATACAGAGAGTATAATAACTTGTCTAAGGTTATAGAGCCAGTAAGAGTAAGTATCTAGGGGAAGAAGTTGGAAAACAACACTTTATTAGTGAGTGTTGGTAACTGTTGGCTGCATTTGACCATTTCCTGAATTCAGAAAAGAATTTTTATGTTTGCAAACAAGGATAAAGAGACTAGAGAGAACATAAAAATTCATGGACTTTCAGAGACGGAAAAGAAAACTCACCACCCCAAAATGTAAAAATTAAATGTAAAAACATCTTTGAGCAGCAAAGGCTAATTATAACTCAGCTTTGAGGCAGAGGTCAAATTAAAGGAGTGCCCATTACAACTTTGTGAAAACCACTGGATGGAGTAAGGACTTCATGGCAAAAAGCCAATTAGTTTGTAATATCCAAAAAATGCTTATTTAGATAAAATAACTCAGAGTAAGGAGCTAAAGTATGTACTTTTCCCAGTGATATCTAACAGACTTAGTTACCTGATATTAAAGAGTTGGAGTATAGAAATATGAGAAAATAGAAATAGAACACCCTAATAAAGCACATCTTATAAGGAAGTATGGATATGGATACCGACATATACAGCAGATTGGAATCAAATGGATAAGAAGTCTATTAAGTTCTGGTGAGTTTTATTGGAAGTTGGGCAAGAAAAGGAATGAGAAAACTGCATCATCCATTAGGAGGTCCTACTGCCCTTTATTTCAGATGTGGCCAAGAAGGATAATAGAAAAAGACGTACTTTACCCAAGTCAGAGTCAGGGCCATAGAGAACAATGGAAAAAGAAGTTCCTCCACTCTCTAGAGAGATTTACTCAAGGAACATTTCTCACCTCAAAGATGGAGGGCCTTAACAATATTTGCCCGCCAGAATTTCAAAATTGCTATGGACCAGTGATTGCTACATATCACGAAGTTTTCTTTTCTAAATGGCAGTACTATTCTTGTTATGCTGTGCCTGTTTCATCACTTAATGAAACATAATTTGTGCACATAATAAACACAATTTGTCTTTTTTGCTCAATTACCTTGTATCAAGGAACCACATTAAGATCTATATTGTAGAGATTGCTGTGCATCCACAACATAGAGGAAACCTGACTCAGCTAAACTTTCTAACTAGATGGGACTCTTGGGTTGTCTCTATTGAGGTGAAAATAAGTGTAATCTACATGGGAGAAAGAGCTATCCAAATATTTGGTGAGCAGAAGGGCAAATTGTAATAGATATTACATCTCCTCGCCAATATTTCAAGTTTTCCTCTTCTACTCACACAGAATTGCACTTTCCTGCTCCCAAGAACCTGGGTGTGGTCATGTGCTTTTATTCAATAAAATGTGAGAAGTGATCCACATTTAAGCATTTAAGCACCACTGCAAACTATTTTCTCATCTTGCTACTACAACTGACGTTCCCAAATGGTATAGCCTCCATCAGCTTATACTGCAGAGGGAGCATAGAAACCTTTATTGTTCTAAGCCACTGAGAATCTAGAATTGTTTATTCCCAGTGCATAATATAGCCCATCCTATGAATATTGGTATACAAGTTAAAATATATAGGGCAATGATTTAAAAGAATACAGAATATAATTCCAAACTGTTAGGGGAGAAAATAAATGAAAAATTTTAAATTTTATTTAATATTTTATTTTATTTTAAATATTAAAATTTTATTTTAAATTAAAATTTTAAAAACAATCAAGAAGCACAATAGGAGAAAAAAGGGAACACACAGAGAGAGAGCAATAGAAGGAAGCAAATAATATGGCAGAAAAAAAATTAAATGTATTTATCAGATCTTGTAAAGTTATCTTGCTTTAATAAGTCATCCCTAAATGTCAGTGACTTACATAATCTAAGGTTTATTTCTCACTCACATTACATGCCAGTTTTTGCTTGGCTTTAGATATTCAATCTAAGACCCAGACCAAAGGAATAGCTTCAGTCTGGGACACCACAAGTATTGTGGCAGAGAACAACTCAGAACAACATGGTTAAAAGCTTCTACTCAGAAGAGGCACATTTACTTCCATTCATTCTTAATTGATAAAAATTATCAATCAATCAATCAATCTCATGGCCAAGCCTATTAATGGACTTTTATGTTAATGAAGTTAGAAGTAGAATACTTTCACATGGACAGACCTGGAAGAGAGGAGCCTTGTAAGGAGGAGTTGTTAGGAAGGTTTGGAGAATATTTTGATAATAATTTACCATATCAAATATAAAACTGATCCCAATGGGAATTGTCTAAACTAACCAACTGTAAGTCAAAGATTGTCACACTGGATTAAAAATAAATCCAACTCTACTACTCTATGAGTGCTTCACCTACAATATAGGGACAGAGAAGGTGTGAAAGTCAAAGCATGGGAAAAACAGACTAGGAAAATACTAAACAAAGAAACCTAGTGTAGCTATACTAGTATCAGACAAAATAGACTGTAAAGCAAAAAGCATTTCTAGAGATAAAGATGGCCACTACATAATAAAAACATTGGGATAATATAACAATTCTAAACTTTATGTGATTAATAATATAGTCTCATAATAATGAACAAATTCACCATCTTAGAGATTTTAATTTCTCATAGTAAATTAAAAAGACTAAAAAATTAAGGATATGAAGAATCTGAGCAACACAATTAACAAGCTTAATGAAAAAGATAACTATAGAACACTGAACTCAACAGCTACAGAATATATCAAGTACAAAATACTTATGACAGTTCATAATACAAGTCTCAATAAATTTTAAGAAATTTTTAAGAACACTTACTTGACAACATAAAATTAAGTTAAAAATCAATAACAAAGACAAGTAGAAATACTTCCATGTATTTGGAAATTTAAATTTCTATTCGTGGGTTAAAAAATGTCATAATGGAAATCAAAAAATTCTTAGAACTGAATGATAAAGAAAGTCATATTCAATACTTGTGAGATGCTGCTAAAGTCTTATTTTGAGGAACATGGATAACTGTATATTCCTAAGTAAGAACAAAAGAGGCTCAAAATTAATGAACTAAGCATTCCGACTTTAGATATTAGGGAAAAAATAGAATAAATGTTACAAAAGCAGCAAAGATATAATCAAGTTTTTTATTGAGAGAAATTACATAATTACATGAGCAATCTTGGGCCAAACACACCCATGGGCTGCCTGTTTTAGACCAATGAGCACATCAACAACATCTTTTAAAGTCCATCCTCCTAACTGTATTAAAAAAAAAAATCTTTTAAGAAAATGAGGGAAAACAGAAGCAACCAAGAGAAAAAGCAAAGCAAGACTGGTTTCAGCTCAGTGTAGCCTCAGCCTGAAATCTCCAGGAGCTCTGATGTACACACTGCGCCATGGTCTTTCTTGCATTATAAGGAATGAGGCACTAGGCAGTCACCATTTACAGATTGTTACAGGGATGAGTAGTGCATAACTTCCAGACATCTCCCGGTAATGTTGCTCCAATCTACCAAGGGCAAGCCTCTTGAAAATGTTGCAGGTGTAAGCCATTAGCAGCATCACATGCAGCAGCTGGAGAAGAATGAGCATTCGAAAGCAAAAAATGAAACCCAGGCAGTCTGGACAGAGCACCAATATTGTCTGCTATGCTCCACCCCTTGTATAATTCAGGTCCACTTGCTTTGCACATTTCTTTCACTCCATTCTTTTATACCGTCTCCCAGGATGCTGGTTGATCAAAATTTCTAGGAAAACTTAATAGAAAAGTTAGTGAGATGAAACTACAGCCTCCATGCTGCAGCTGGTCCTGAGGTCAGAACAGATACTGATTATTTCCTTTACTAACCATTCTCTATTCCTGAGCCGGCATTCTGTTGGTTTAGGTAACTTTCCTGGTGGTGTCACCTGAGGGGTCTGAGAGTTTGGTTATCATGCTGCTGTCTGGACAGATGAGCTCTACTTGCCGATTTACAGTGAAAACTGGGCTCAGAGTACTAAGAGATACGCCAGTGGCTCACAATGAGTGCTAAATATATTCTTCCCTACCACCATTATGTAGCAGCAACCCTACCTCTTCATGATTATCAGTCAATTACTCCTTCAAATATGGTTAACTCTTTTCTCTTCTTGCTGGTCTACTGGCACAATGAGCCTGAAATGTCAATGGCAGCCACAGCCTAAGTTTAGTAGAACTATAAATGTGTCCCCTAGTGGACGTGTCCCCTTTCTAGAAACAAAGACTGCTAGTTCTTAAACTAAAGAGCCTAAAGCTTCAGAAACTAAAAGCAAAAGTTCCCAGGTTGCTGGAACAGGGCTGTCCTCCTTCTCATTCCTTTCTTCTCAGCGGTAACACAGGACCATACAATGATCGTTGGTTTAAGGCAAGAGTGGCAAACTTGTTCTGTAAAGAGCCAGAGCCTAAAGTATTTTAGGCTCTGTGGATCATACAGTCTCTGACACTACTCAGCTCTACCAATGTAGCATGAAAGAAGCCATAGACAATATGCAAATGAGCATCATTGTGTTCCAATAAAACTTTATTTGTAAAACAGTAGCGAGATTTGGCCTTTGAACCAGTTTGCCAACCTCTGCTTTAATATATATATTCTATATCCAGAAGGAGTGCTCCATCTTTGTAAAATATCATCTCCAAGCTGTTGCTTTAGCTGTTTCTTAAAGGCCATTCCAGTGCTCTAACAAGCTAGCAGCGTATGAATGATATGGGATGTAGCCGGAACAGTTAATCACACAGGCTCGGGCCTACTGCTGAACATCTTTTTTTACAAATTAGGTCCCTTCATCTGAAGTGACAATATGTGGAAGATCCCATGTTAGTGATCAGATACTCCATGAGCCCTTGAATAGAGGTGTTGACCAAATCAATGCAGGAAGGAAAAGGTAAATGTACATTTATAAAATATGTCTGTCCTAGTCAAAATGAATTGCTGGCCTTTCCAAAGGTGGAAGGAGTCTCATCTAATCAAGTGCCACTAAGTGGCTGGTGGTCTCCTTAAAAACTCATGCATTATCGAAGGGGTTCAACATCAGTCTCTGCTGTTGACAGGCAGGGTTGCAGTTGTAGCAATGTCAGCTTTGGTGAGCGATGTCATGTTTTTGTGCCTATGCATAGCCTTTATTTCTGCCATCATGGGCTATTCCATTCATGAGCCCATTTCATCAGCACTGTGGTGACCAATGACTGTGGCCAGTTTATATCTGCACTGCGGCTCTCCTTTTGGTGCTTTCTAGAGACCTCACATGGTGTCTCAGCCACAGATATCTCTAGGATTACTGCAGGGTATAACTTCTAAATAAGTACCTTCTAGTGAGGCAATTTCATTCAAACAGGGGCAAGTGAGAATACCAGAGAACCATGAGGGTGTGACCTGTGAGCAACATCACCTGCAGCAGCTGGGGGATGGGCATACCAAACTGGTAAAAAGGATCCTGGGGGATCTGGGTGGGGCCCAATTCCTCCTTTTTCTCATAATCCAATGCAGAGACGAGTAGGGGCCAGAGCATTGCTGGATGGAGGTGTGGTTCTGCCCTGGGGGTGAGGAAGATGGGTACTGTAGCCTTGCTACAAGGCACATTATTGTTTGAGAGTATGAGCGGCCTTTAGTGTAGGAAATACAGTTAGGACTTAGGTAGCAAGGATCTGAGTAAATGGCATCTGTTTAGTGATTTGTTTGCGATGCTCCTCTGCTGCCCCTTTGCTATCCTAACTTCCATGCAAGCAGCCTTGTATGCCGGGAATAATCAGGCAGGACCTAGACACCAAGAGGACTAGGTTTAGAAACCAGTCAGTCAGATAATTATCATGGAACATCAGCTGCTTTTAGTAATCTTTTTTTTATAGCCTCATTGAGATATAATTTACATAACACAATATCCACCCATTTTCAGTGTATCATTTAATGAATTTTATTATATTTATAGTTGTACAACCACAATCTAATTTTGGAACATTTCTATCACCCTTAAAAGAAACTTCATGTCCACTTACAGCCAGTTTCCATTTCCATTTCCAATCCTAGATAACACTAACCCATTTTCTATCTCTTTTTGGACATTTAGCATATTTGCCTTTTTGGACATTTAGCATAAAGGGAATCACAATCTGTCATTTTGCAACTGGCTTTTTTCACCGAGTATAATGGTTTTGCAGTTCAGCCATGTTGTAGCATATATCAATCCTTTATTCCTTTTTTTGAATTTTTATATATTTTTTTCAATTATAGTTGACATATTAGTTTTGGGTGTACAACAATGATTAGACATGTATATAACTAATGAAGTGATCACCACAATAAATCCAAGAGCCATCTGACATCATACATAGTTATTACAATACTACTGACTATATTCCCCATGCTATACTCTACATTCCCAGTACTATTCTGTAACTACCAAATTGTACCTTTTAATCCCTTCCCCCTTCAGCCATCCCCCACCCTCCAATGTGACAGCCATCAAAATGCTCTTTGTATCAATGAGCTTGTTTCTGTTGTTTATTTATCCTATTCTCTAGATTCCACATGACATGTCTTTGTCTGACTTAACTCCACTCAGCACAACACCATCTAATACCTCACTCCTTTTCATCGCCCAATAATATTCCATTGTATGATTATATCATATTATGTTTATCCATTTACCAGTTGATGGGCATTTAGGTTTTTTTCTACTTTTTGGCTATTGAGAAAAATGCTGCCATAAAGATCTGTGTCCAAGCCTTTGTATGATCATGTGTTTTCATTTTTATTGATGATCTTAGGGAAACGGGACTTAGGCATGCCAAGGAAGGAGAGCCTCCAGTCCCAGTGGAGTTAACATTCAGGCTTACCCCTCCCACTGAGTTGGAGAGAGGCAGTGTCCCCAGTCTCAACTATTTCATTGTTAGACAACTAAAGGGCACTCCCAGGATAGCCATCAGTGTGTAGAGCATCTACAAAAAGTCTGCATACTTACTTAATGATAAAAACCTTCTCTTTTACAATCAGGAACGAGACATTCCTATATAACAGTTAAAGGCAAGAAGAACAGTTAAAAAATACAATAACTGTAAAGGAAGAATCAGAACTCTTATTATTTAGAGATGCAGAGAAAAATCAAAATAATTTATAGATAAGTTATTGAAATGAATGTTTTGTAAGGTTACTGAATTTGGAATCAAAACCAAGATATTCAAATCAGTTTCTTTTATATACATCATCAAAACACAGCTTTTTAAATATAAAACCTAATTTAGAAAAAGATTACATTTACAACAGCATATAAAAATGAAGTAGCCAGGAATAAATCTAAATAAAAACATCCAAGCCCTTCCTGTAAAAACTGTCATACTTTAAGGACAATGAAGATAACTTCTATAAATGGGGAGTAATGTCATATTTATATAGAGGTAGACTCGATATTGCAAATATGTCAACTCTTCTCAAACTGATTTATAGATTCAATTCAATCCCAATAAAAAACAAGTTTTGAGGTTTTGTTTGTTTTTTGGTTGGTGGTTCATAAGCTGTTTCTAAAATTTCTACGGAAAAACAAAGGACCAAGAATAGTTAGGACACTCCTGAAGAAAGGTAGTAAAGTGGGAGTCTTGTTTTATTAGATATCAAGACTTATAACTAGGCTATATTCACAAGCCCAAATTGTACTTGTACAGAACAGACAAAAACAGTCTAACAGTCAGAACAGGATTCAGAAAACAGGCTACATATACAGACAGTTTGACTTATAAAATCTTGACTTTATGATGGTGCAAAAGTGATATGCATTCAGTAGAAAGAGGCTAGGCCTAAGCTATGATGTTTGAAGGTTAGATATATTAAAAGCATTTTTGGCTTGTGATCATTTCTACTTACAATGGGTTTACTGGAACATAACCCCATGGTAAATCAAGGAACATCTATACATGCAACTTGACTTCTGACAGGTGATAATATGGATCAGTGGGTTAAGAACCTTTTAATAAATGGTGCTGGGAAATTGTTTATCCAAATAGATATAAAATTGGAACATAAATTTTTAAAGCCACTTTGGAAATCAATTTGTCACCATCAAATAGTTAAAACTGGATATTGTATAATCCAGAAATTCAACTCCTTGTCAAACACGCCAGAGAAACTCCTACACATTTTCATCAGAGCTTATGCACAAGAATGTTCACAGCAATCTTATATGTAAGATCAAAAGATAGGGGAAAAATCCAAACCTCTACTGGAAGGGGAATCTGTAAATTACTTGCAATATATAAACACAATGGACATACAATGTAGTAGAGAAAATTAATGCATGCAGCTATAAATATGAACAAAACTTACAAATGTATTATTGAGAAAGTTACCCAAATAGTGTATACAGTATGATTTCATCTATATTGAGCTAACAAGCATGTAAAACAAAACAAACATAATTTAGGAACATTTACATCTTTGGTTAAAATGTAAAAATAAAATAAGGGGAGTGATTAACAATCAAATATCCATGGTAATTAATACCCTGATTAGCTGGGGTAAGGGATAGGTTTATCGAGGGTGAGCAGTTTGAAATCAGGGAAAAGCACTTCAAATATATTTGGTAGTGTTCTATTTCTTAGATTGGGTGATAGGTCTAGAACTTTTAAAAATTAGCACTTTTATACTTGAAACATAAAAATTCATTTGTATGTATTAAATATTTAATAAAACTGTTGCAGACACACTGTAAGGTCAGGATAAACCCCTATTCAATATATTCAAAATCTAGTCGGACACACCCACCCACCCATGAAGGTATAAAGTTTTACTACTCATATAATGAGAGTAGAGTGGCTCCCAAACAGGAAAAGAAGATTGGCTTGGGGTTTTTATAGTGACTAGGGAGGGTGACAAGGACAAAGGTTTCCACACACAGTATGAAATTCCACAGGCACAAAGGAAAGATCACCCGGGCTTTCTTACAGGCCACACCAGAGACCGAGGCCAGCTGGCTCCCGTGTGAGTGCCCATATGTGAAACAAAGGGGAAAAAAGGAGAGGTGAGACTTAAAAGATGTCAGTCAAACATCAAAAAAGTCACACTCTTTATTACAAAAATATTTTAAACAAAACTGTACAGGAAACAAAAGGTTATCTGCCATTTTAGAAATAACATGTCTCTAGAGGAGAGAATGTCACCTCTCCCTTTTAGAAATTTCTCCCATTCTTTTTTCTCCCAGAAATACTCCTCTAGAGGAATAACCTTGGTCAAATTGTTAAATTTGGTAGAAAATTTAAATTGCTTACTATTCTACAGAAGAACCTGAATGTCAAAAGGAATTATTACAGGGATGAAGAAAAATGGCGTTGATGATAGAGGCTCTGTTCATCCCTCTGGAGACCAAATCAAAGTTGTGACGGAAACAAGGAGCAGCAGCAAGGAAAAATCACCTGGGATCTAGATGAATAAGCCATATAACTAGGGAGAAATCCAAGAAATCATCCTGCAATGGCAGAAGGTAGGATGGGGTGAGGATGTGGGACTGCCCGGTCTCCAGCGGCTGAGTGAGACGGAGACAGCAGGAGCAGTAGATGCCTCTTAAAGGTGTCGTGGATTTTTGCCGAGACAGACCTGCTAGCTCTGAGCACCAGTGCCAATTTAGCTGTGTGCAGGGAGCACCAGGGACTTATAGGGAGACATCGTCGGAGTGAGGGCCAAGGTGAGACTCGCTCTGTACAGAAGTACGGACAGTATTCATTGTTCCCTGTTGAGCCCTCCCCTCTCCCAGTGCGTGGATATAGCGCCACCATAGCCCTGACCTCATTAAACTGGACAACAGAGGTCTCTCCACCCAGAGGATTCCCTGAAACCCCTCTTCCCCTAACTCGCAGCCCCACCCATGCCACATCCAAGTATATCTTCAGCAAGTCAGGTGCTCCTTGCTGAGCAGCACCTAGACTCACACTGGAGCCAGGTGGCCTCGGTTTCTGGTGTGGCCATTTGAGATGACTATAAGCACAGCATCTCTGGATTGCTTGCTGACCCAGGTGGACCCAGAGGGGCACAGGCTTGGGCTATATTTGGCCTGTAGCTGAACCCCTCTCAGGACTGTGCCACTGGACACCTGCTTCACAAATCCACACTAATAAGACTGGGACACTTAGGAGCTTTGCTTAGTACACAGAAACAGACACAGAAAGGCAGCCAAAATGGGAAGACAAAGAAGCAGAAACCATATGAAAGAACAAAACAGAAATCCAGATATAATGGAGTTAAGTAATCTAACAGATGCAGAATTCAAGACACTGGTTATAAAGATGCTCAAAGAACTTTTGGGAAGTGTAGATAAATTCAGTGAGAACTTCAACAATGAGATAAAAAAAAAACAACATAAAAATGGAAATTATAAAAGGGAACCAATCTGAAATGAAGAACACATTATCTGAGATGAGAAGTATATTAAATGGAATAAACAAAGGAATAAACAAAGTGAATAAAGGAAAAGATCAAATGCCCTATCTAGAGGACAGAAAAGCCAAGGACATACAATCAGAATGGCAAGATATAAGATGCCAAGACTATAAAAATAATTTAAGGAGCATATAGGACACTATTAAGGGTTAAAATATCCGTCTGATCGGCGTACCTGAAAGAAAACAAGATGTTGAACAGCTGTTTGAAGAAATAATGATGGAAAACTTCCCTTACCTGGTGAAGGAAATGGACATACAACCCCAGGAAGCTCAGAGAATCCCCAAAACCAGGGATCCAAAGAGGCCCACACCAAGACACATCACAATTAAAATGTCAAAAGTTAAGGTTAAAGAGAACAGAATTTACAACTAAGAATACTTTATCTAGCAAAGCTAACATTTAGAGTTGAAGCTAAAGGAATTCATCATTACCAAGCCTGTATTACAGAAAATGTTGGAGGGACTTCTTTAAGAAGAAAAATATATATCAAAAACAGAAATAAAGAATGCTAATACCTACTTTCCTATCAACAAGTATCTCAGATGGACAAGAATTAAGTCCTGCCAACCAAAGATAGAGTGGCTGAATGGATAAGGAAACAAGACCCCTACACATGCTGCCTACAAGAGACTCACTTCAGATTAAAAGACACACACAGACTAAAAGGAAGCGGATGGAAAAAGATATTGCTTTGATGGACCTAGAAGGTATTTAAGTCAGACAGAGAAAGATAAACACTATATGATTTGGCTTATATGTGGAATCTAAGAAATAAAAGGAAAAAACTAATTAAAAACAGACTCACAAATAGAGTTGACAATTTGGTGATGGACACAGGGAAGGGTGGGTTGGGGGAACGGGAGAGTGGGGTGAAGGGTTAAAGAAGTACAAATTAGCTGATGGATGGTCACGAAGATGGGAAGCACAGCATAGGAATGCAGTTAACATTAATATGTTGGCTAGGTGGAGAATCAGGGGAGGGAAGACAGCAACTGGGGGATTGACTATATAGATGTCTAACCAATGTATACTTGAAACTAATTAAAAATGAAATTTTAAAAAAGGAATTATTATAACATAAAAAGTTAGATATCAAGTCCAGTGAAAAGAATTGAGAAGAATGAGAATTACTCAGGATGTTTAAAAGTTCCTGGGATTATGCAGTGGAATAAATGTCATTTGGGTCTCTAGTACATAGGTGAACCCAACAGGAATCATTTGCTTTGCCATTATGGGAGTGAAGAAATTCTTCAACTTTACACCTCTAACTGCAAACAAACACCAGGCTTGAAGCCTTCTCCCAGAAGAAAGTATTTCATACCTGCTGAAAAGAAATAGACAATGAATTACAAGTATACATTATTTTTTGAGTCACCTATACGGATATAAAGATGAATAAGATTCAATCTCTGCTCTTTAGGGGCTCACAGTCTTGTATTACTTTTGTACTCTTGGGTGTGAAAATGTGGATTTACAGAACACCTATAACCGGACTGATAGCTTCAATGATAAAACAATTACTCAGCTTGCTTTTAACATACTTCAGCATTAAAGAATTCATGAGAACTGTTAGAAACTGTA